CCCAAAAGCAGGTACTCCCGAGAGCTTGTCCCCAAACCACTGACACATGGACTAGTGACCAGCCGATTGACACCCGTGAGGACGACAAGGTGCCTCCTATTTAACTGAAGCAGAGGCCAAAGCAGTGTGTTGGGACAGTACCTCGCCCCTCAACTACCAGGACCCTCCTTTCCAGTGACATGGGTCTCCACGCACTGCAAACACGTGGGCGGTTTTCTCGCCACTCGAAGAACTAGGGACAAGGCTGTTCAGTTTCTTATGACGAGCCCGAACCTCGAAAGAGGAAATCACATGGGAGAAGGAAAACGGGAAAAGTTGCAGTGAAGAGGAGAGGAGGCAGAAAGGAGGAGAGATCACTGGGGCTCCAGGATTGTGACACCCGATAACCGAGATGGTAATCCCCTGAAGGATCTTCACCTGCTATGCTTTAGCTGGGCATGTTGGAACGGCCTTCATGCCTAGAGTGGCCCTACCAGGAGCTATGCTCCTAACGTACTTCACCCGTTACGCCCAGTGACACCCCCTCCGCCATGTTGAGGCAGCATAGCAGGATTTGGTGGGGATTTTTTGATTGAAAATGTGCATATTGATAATTTATCTGATATGGCACATTAGGTGAAAAAGAAACTCATTCAAACCACACTATGATCAGACTTTTCGTTACTGTATTGCCAGACAAATATTTATATATTATAAACAAAATATTTGGCTCAGTCCAGTCTCTTACACATATACATTTTTTTTAAATTTTACATCTTATATATCTATCTATCTATATATATATATATATCATTAATTGGTGTATGAACTTTATAGGCATCATTAACTGAAAATGTTTTGGTAATTTTCATAATTTTTCTTGAATTTCTACATTCTGAAAATTTCCAAACTTTAAAACTCATCCATGTTTATGTTCTTAGAATAACGATGAATACCTGTATATTATTGTCCTCTTCTTTTATCTACATCTCCACTTTTCTTTGTGTTCTAATAGAAACCATATGAGATAGGTTCTTAAAAGACTAGTAGTTATGGAGGTCAGGGATAAAAAGACATATTCAGAACAATTTCATATTTACCTATAAAATAACTGTTAAGTTTAAAAAGTAAACCAAAAATTTAGATACTACTCAAATAGTGCCAAAAAAAATCAAACAGCAAGAGTGAAGTGTCACTATTACACTTATTTCCAGAACTACTCTACCTGACCTCTTAATAAAATGCATGCGCAAACTAAAACATTAAATACAAGTAAGCAAATAATATATATACTTTTGCACCATAAGTGCCAACAGTGCTTTAAACCAGAAGAATTTATTAAACACTAAACCAAAAAAGAAAGTTGAAGGACATGTGGGAAAATCTCCAAAATTGGAATTCATCAGCTTGACCTTGAGAACAATTTTGTATTTATTTGAAATAAGCTTTTTCATAAGTTGAAAGAATCTAGAGTGTGACTAAAAGCAAAAAAGAGAAAAATTTAGACAAGCTTAACTTGATAACAGGAAATGAAAAGTTCAGACTAGCGAACTAATTCCCTAAACACGAAACAACTATGAGGCCTAGAAACTGAATTTAAGTGAATGCTCAGAAATGCACATGCAACCACTAGCACTAAACCATTTAAATGAAATCAAAGGGGGGGAGGAAGAAGAAGACATAATTCACAATTAAACCAATTAAGAAAAATTCTCAGTGGTGTCAAAGAAATAAGCCAAGACTGATCTGAAGCAAGTTAAAAGAAACACTTACACAAATTCTCAAAATAAACAAGAAAGCATTCCAAAATCGCCACAAATTTTGCTGTACGATATAAAATCAGAATTGAGAGCCTCTGAAGATATATGCACTGCAATTATAAAAAGCAGTTTTTAGCACCAACTCACCCAAAACACAAAACACAAATTTTGAAACTCAGATAACATTTTATTATGTAAGAAGAAGTGCATGCACTACAATTATGGGATTCAGTCTTTTGCATAAACATTACACTAGAGACTAAAATTACTGGCAAAGAATAAATACAAAAATTTCACTCTAAAACTATCTGAGGAAGTGTTTTAAAAACTCAAAATCCCCCTCCCCCACAAATACCCAAACTAAATTCTCTTTCCACTAAATCCACGAATAAAATCCAATGCATTATTTTTTGTATTTAAGGAAAATCCACACTGAAACTTGGCTATAAATACGCAAAACGTGTCTATAAATATGCAAAAACAAAAGTATTGAAAAGTCAAAAACTTAATAAAATAAGACAATGCGCAACTTAATTAATTTTTTATGTGAGTTTATTCTAAAACTTCTTCTTCTTCTAAATCTGAAAAACCATAAAATCGAAATTCTCCATAAAATCACTACATAAAATGAAACTCAGTTATTAGCATATATTCTCAAATTCTGCATATATCAAAGATTGTATTTCAATACAAAATTCCCTTTCGAATTAGAACTAAACTTACACCAATGAGTGAAACAGCAATTTAGTTCAAAATTAAGCATATTACACGGTCCACCAATTAATTTCACAACAAAATTGCATGCAAAAAACTTCAAAAGCATACGTAATTCTACGCAAGATCCCAAAAAGTCAACTTTCTTAATTCCTGCAAAACACTAGATTCAAAACTTCTTACTGTTAACCATATTTCTCCGACAGTAATAACTACTCACAAAAGCACTATTATAAAAAAAACTCAGAAAAATAGATAGATCAGCATCTACTAACGTTTCTTTTTTTATCTAATTTTTATTTTATGTTTGCATGTTTTCTTTCAAAGAGGAATGCTCTTTAAGTATTAAAATTAGGGGTCAAGCATCGACCAAATAATTTCCCGAAACATTATGGACAGTTCGTAAGTGAACTTTAAAGACGTGAACAGGTCATAAACAGATTCTTACTTTTCCTAATTAGCATGCCGTGCGATTACCTATTTATATCAAATCAGTTTAAGTCCATTGCTATTTAAGAAAAGTATTTTTCCCCCTCACTTAATGTTATCAAAATTGTCATGAAGAAACATGATCAAATTAAGCGATGCCTATAGTGAATATAAACCGGGAAATAATATAAGTTAGATTTTATATTTTTTATAAAATTTACTTTTTAAACTTAAAACATCACGAGATGAATATTTTAAAAGTCCAATTTAAAGGATTTTTGTTTTTAAGTTTATACCCAATGGCTCTGCTAAGATTTTTGTGGACATGCCAATGCTTCAACTCTCTGCACCTCGTAATTCTTTTTATTTGGTCCTAAAGTTTCCTATTATTTATTATATACTAGCTTATTTAAAACATGTTACTTTTTTACACTCTTTAATAATATCAATATTATCTTAATGCACGGTTTCTCAAATTATGGTATATTAAATTATTTTTGATGGTGCAAATTTTGCATAAAAAAATTTAATGTAGGTGAAAATGGTATCTATTTTAACATTTTGTTTTAATCTTTATTATTCAGATATATATTTTTCTGTTTGGGACATCATTAAAATGTAAAACTTGCAAGGATTTTTTTTTTTTTTTTTTTTAACTTCCTTGAAAATTTAGAAAATAAGCATTAGATGAGAGATCTATTTTCTGTTTCAGATATTATGCTACGTAATACTTCAGTTCAAGATACAGATCAGCTTTTTAAATATTTTATAAGATAAAAATCTCATAAATATGTTCCAAAAAAGATAACTTATGCTGTTTTTGGTTTTAAAAAAAAAAGAGATAAATGTATTCTCAAATCAATAAAATATTTAATGCCTTTCATCACTTCATAAATCTTTGCAAAATAAGCATGATATTAATTAAAAATATAGCAAGTACATGGTTGCAACTTGAACCTGACTTACACTTGAAATTACAGTGAAATAGGTTCATTCATCTCATTAATTCTAATCAATAATTAATCTTCACATTTGCTATTATGTATTGTTGCCCTTTATTTACTTGTAAATATATTTTATTGTAATGTAAAGATTTCATTTATGAATATAAAATAGATATAATTGTATACTTAGCGAATATAAATTTTAAATGTTTTATTCTTTGATTATAAATGCTGCATTTAGGATGCAATGATTTTAAACTGGAAAATGCTTTTATGATAATACATGTATTTTTGATTCTTAGTTATGTGGTTAAAAAGTTTTAGATCCAATGGTAAATTTATTATGAAAACAAATGGTGAAATAAGTAATGTTGCAAATCAGGCTGATGAATGTTCTTTACATACACCTTTTCATCATAGTATAAAGGTAGTAAAATAAAAGGTTCATCATAAGTATAAAGGTGTTTAGAGGTCCCCTGATGAAAATTAAATTTTATCAATGTTGATACAAGCAGGCAGTTTATAATTCTAACAAGCAGGCAGTTTATAATTCTAACATTTAATAATAAGGAGTATTTATGGAATTTATTTTAATGAAGTATAACAATTAATTATTTTGTCCTGTATTACAATTATCTTAGTATTCTGCATGATATAAATGTGATCAGCATTTTCAAGTAAAATTTTAGAAGGCCAATCAATCTGTAACAGATTTCCCCCCTATATCTAGTTAAAATTTCTAACAAACACACATTTAACTTTTTTAGATAAGGAAAGTATTTTTCTTATTGATAACTGTAAAAAGCTCCATCAGTGCATCATTACCAAGTTAAATATATTGCATGATTTTATACTTTCTAAACCTACGTAGTCAGCAACACTTTTCTCATTCATTTGTTTAGCTTAAGTAGTTTGCAATTATGCTTGTACTGAAAATAATCCAGGTTTGCAAGAATATTTTTTAAAAGGTCATTTTTTTCTAATACCATATGTCAATTAAATTTTTAATATGTGCGAAAGTGTATATTTTTATTAGACAGATTGCATATTTTTCTTTCATGTCCACTTGTTTATTGATTTTCAACAGAAGTAATCTTATTTAAGTTGAATATGCATCTAATTTTAAGTTTTTGATTATGTTTTAAACATCAGTATTACATTTTAAATCTTTCAGATAGCTGAACTAGCAGCCTACTCGGCTCCTTTATTTTTTGAAGTTATACAGTCTTCTTTACCAATAGGAGTAACAGTGAGTATTCATCCACATGAAGAAAAACATGATGAAATTCGCTATATTCCAGATTTTGAATTGCTTGCACTTAAAGGTCAATTAAAAGAGTTGACTGATCCTGAAGCAAGTACAAAAATTAAACCTTAACCATGTATTTATGTTTAATTTTGTATCTAAGATTTTACTCAATAATAATGTTAAATGTAAGTTATTAAAACAAATATCTTTATCATTTTAAACTAGTAACATGTTTCAATTGTTGATGTGTATTCTTAATAAATTGACATAAATTTCTTAATGTTTAAGACTGACTAGTATAAATAAAAAATTGACAGGCCATGATGACCTAATTAAAAGCTTAAGTAAAACAAGCCACTTTTCAGATTATTAATGTGAGAAGTACTCGTATGTATCCTGCTATTTCTTTCTGTAAACCTTAGCTTATTGTTGGTCAGTTTTAATGTACTTGAATTCAAGTGTAAATTTATTTTTACTCAATCTCAATTATATTTCAATTTAAGGAATTCCTCCTTGGGGGGGGGAAACAGAGAATTAAGTTTTAAAATATCTGTAGATGTAACGATATGTTTTAAGCAACCAAGTTGGGATTCTAATTCTATTAATGCTAAAATAACACATTCATGATGATAGTAAATTTGAGAGGAATAAAATAATGTCAGAATTTTATCCTTAAGGGTATCTCATAAAGAATGCAACTTTTGAAATACCCATCATTTCTGTTCTATTAAGGTGGCAGCACTGAACGTTGCATGATTTTCATCTGTTATCTTTGCGGTTAATAGTCATGCAGCGCTGAATAACTTAATGCTGTTTACCTCACAGGCAGGAATGGAGTGCTTTATGGTGGAACAGCATGTTGTCAGAATGAAAACTTATTATAAATGTGGTGAATGTTATTCGCAAACTCCGCGAGATGTTTGATCAACGTAATGCAGCACATAAGCTGATTATAATGAGACTGATTGCTAAATTTTAACCTGTTCAGTTGTAGATATTAGCCCTCAGGACGCACGATAGTTAGTCGTTCTGCAGAAAACATCGCCATTGTGAATGATAATGTTGCAAATCCGACACAATCTGTTTCCCCGATGTTTACAATTGAATATTTCCAGAACCAGCATGCAATTAATTCCGAAAGAAGATCTGCACCTTTGGGCCTATAAAATCGTACCAATGCAAGAACTGAAGCCAAATGATCACAAAAAGTGCCAAGCATTTGCCAATTGGATACTTGTGAAACAAAGAGTGGGCAACAGTTTAAGAAAGTGATGTTCAGTGATGATGCACACTTTCCATTCAACAACTTTAGTGAAAAAACAGAATTGCAGAATTTGGGACTCAGAAAACCCTCAAGAAATTATCGAGAAGTCCCACAATGAGTGACTGTGGTGTGGCAATTGGGCTGAGGGAAAAATTGGCCTGCATTTCTTTGTAGATGGGCTGAGGATGTAGTTGGCCTGTACTTCTTTGCCAGAAACATATCAACAGCGAATAGTGAATGCTACTACAGTATGTTATGAGCGTTCTCATGATCTGAACTTATAGTCCGTTGAAAGTATTACAATAATCAAAAACCTATTTTTACTTGTAAAATACCCTCCCAAAAATTTTTTTTTTGATGGATCTTATTCAGATTTAATTTGAAAATCATTCAGATTATCAAGGTAATAGGCAAATTAATCATAAAATTTTTAACTGCACAGGAAAAGCAATACTGTATATATTGAAAATGTAGTTTGAATATGGCAAAGCATGCATGTCCTTGTGAAAAACTTTCTAAGAAAAACTGGTTTATATTCATATTACACATGGGGAAAAGAATGAAAAATACCCATGCAGCCAGCTCATTACCCCAGTCAAAAAAACAGTCTTAACCATTCAGCTGCTGTTATGTATTCTGAAGTTTCATATTCATTTCTGATAGGTATGAAAACAAGTAACTTTCATTTCAAGTGTTTTTAAATGTATCATTGCTAAAAAGTAATTTCTTTATTGCACAAATGCCTTATTATTGCTCAAATATATTGTCGCATAGCTTCTCTTTACCGTGAATAATTTTAATTATTCACAGTAAAGAAAACTATTTAATTACGTAAACCCCTTTTAGTACAGAAAATCTAATTTATATACCTTGTAATGATAAACACATGAAAATAATTTACATTTCTGAAAATAAAAACAACACATAATAAAAAAAAAAATTTATTGTCCAATTTAATATGAGACTGCATAAAACTTTCAGAAATTAAATACACGTGTTTTAAATTAAATAGATTATCCTTATGAGGATGAATATTTATACAACACCAGCATGACCATGTAACATTTAATAACAAATGTACAAAATATTAATGTTTGCTATTAGAGGAAATTCTTGATACACTGCATTTAGATTGTCTAGCTTCAGTTTTAATCTTGAAAAAGTAAGACATATGGAAGTTTTACATTGCATATATATTTAAAAATGACTTTCATTTGGTCTGACATACGGGCAGTCGACAGGAAAACTGTTTTACATGGAAAATGTGACTAACAGAATTTCAGGGAATAAGTTCCTAAATAGGTATATTCATGAAAGATATCTTTTAGAGAAATATATGGGCAGTTTTAATCCCTTTTTATTCATACTCGGTATTGCTTTCTAATTTTAAGCATGGGGCTTGCATTGCATCTGAAACTTTTGAGAAGTTATATACAAAAACTGTACAAAACTTATACATTAATTGGTAATTAGGTCAGTTAAAATTGCAGTTGTTTTATGTGTTAGAAAAACTAGACTGTATGTAATATTAATTATATATTCCATTTAGAAATTTTATATTAAATTTCTTCAATGCATACTTTTAAGAAATGTTTCTTGGAAAATTATGATATGATGTCTTAGATGTTAAACAACTAAAGGAAAGTGAAATCTGTCCATTGCTAATTGCAAAAAGGTGACTCAATTATACATTATGATACTACTATTCCTGGATTTAGTCATATCTACTGATAGGACTGCAGTAACTACTTAAATCATTAACTATTAATTAACATTTAGTCATTAACTACTGATCACTGCCTGTCTTATTAAAAAAGACTGGATTCAATTATAAATTTAAAATTTTTGATTTGAATTTTTCTTCATATAAATTTTCAAAAGTATTTATTTCATTCTAAAAAGAGATTTGAATCACTGATATTGAAAATCCATTTTAAGACTAAAAATCTCTTCAGTAATGTCAAATTTCTAAAACTTTCCTGCAACTAGACACTTCTGCAGAGACAATACAATACAAACAAACTATATAAATGTTTATACATCATATAAAAGATTTTACTTAATTTCAGTCTGCAAATGTAATATTTTTAAAACATATCATATGTAAAACATTCATTATACATGCTGAATAATAAATATGAAAATTATATATCATTAATAAATATAAGAATCGCATGATATTAATTCTTTGTAATGAATTATATACAAAAAGCAATAAAACTAATAAAAATGTTGTGGTGGGAAAATAGATATTATAATAGTCAAAAAGGGAAGATTATCATTAATACAGTTTTTCCTGTGGTTTCTTTAATTTATATCTTTAAAAAATGCTGACATGAAATTTAATGTTGGTATGAAAATTACAATTAACCATTTTGTTAATATTTATAAATTTATCAGACAAATCTGACACAAATAAAGGAAAGCTGTTACAAAAATATATTTTTACAAGACTATAAAAATATTTACATATATACATGTTGTGACAGATTATCACATTTAATGCATGAATAAATAATTCTCTGATGTGACTTTTAACTAAAACTAAAAACATGAAATAAAGTTTTATTTATTCCATAGTGACTTATGATATGTATAAAAGTTTCAATCATTTTGGGTTTTTTTTTTTTTATCAAAGTTTATTCATAGTACAAAAAATTGCTGCTGTGAATCTGTACTTTCAAATGTGAAGTTCTGTTGCAAAACATTGATGGAAGAATGCAGAACCTCCTGGAAACTTGCATTCTTTTCAAAGAAAAAATATTATTAGCTGTATTTGAATACAGTATACACATTAGGCTTATTTACTGAAATCAAATACAACTTTTATATAGCTTACTAATTTTGAAGAAAAATTGTAAGCAATTTTCATAAAGTTATAATAATCATTATTTACAATGTCATATTTATTTAATGGTAAAAAAAGTCTCAAATTATGAAATTAGCATTAAAAGATATTCAATTAAACTCGGAATATGGCTCGATTTCAGTTGTTAGGTTCCATTGAATATCCAATTACAAAAAGATATTGTCATGTTCTAAGTAATCCAAACAATAGAGTTATCGAGCAAACTCTCACTAATATTTTATATTTATTTTACTTATATTTCAGTAACTGAATAATAATGTTTTGTTTTAAATTATTTCTCAGTGCTTCTTAAATTTGAAAACTGGTTAATACTTGAAATGACTTATTTACTGCTCATAAATTTAACATTTCCTGGCAGGTAAGTATACTATTTTTATTTATACAGATGAATCTTGAATAAAGAGGGCTTTCATAGGTACCATTATGTTAAAAAAAATGCATAACTCAATAAACACAGTGTGTGTAATAACTTCAACATGATTTTAACATGTAATTGTACACTTAAAGCTAATCATCAAAATAATTAAGAAAAAACTCAATAAATAACTCAATTTCTGCAATTGACTGCTGCAGTGATGTTATTTTTATAGGACAGGTTGCAGTTACTGTTATAGGACAGGTTGCAGTTACTGAAATTTTCAAAACACGCTTAGCTACACCTCAAATCTTACTCAGTGGTACAAAGAACATTATAAATGCATACACAGTCAAAAGTCGTTAATTCGGACACCCATAATTCGAAATGATCCATAATCTGGACCTCAAAGCTACAAACTTTCTGCGCATGCGTAGCATTGACGCATGCGCGTAAGACCTTTACGGCTGCGAATATGCGTGTGTGCGTGTGCAAAATACGTTTACGTTTGCGCGTTTAAAGTATAACGGACGGTATAAGCTGAGCTAAAATTATCTAATTCAGTTAATGTTGCAGATAGCGTTGTTCCTTAATCTTCGAATTGGATCCGGCTTATTATTTTTTGCAGACTGTTAGAGCAATTTTATAAAAGTAAGTTTGAACTTTCGATTATGTCAAATAGAATTTCCGATATATATTTACTAATATGTAAAGGATCTACAAAGCGAAAGCATGTTTCGAAGTCCATTAAACAAACAGTGGAATTGCTGCAAAAAAAAATGGATAAAGGCATATCCTTCGTTTGTCTAACCATTCCGAAATCTGTTTATCAATTTCACGCTGCTCAGCGGAGCGGGGAAAAACGCCGCGGCGCGCAATGAATTGGAAGTTAATCTGTCAGCACTATCCTTATCTTCAGGGCAGATGTTTTTATTTTATTTGGCTTATAATTCCTTACTAAATGTAGTATTTCATCTCGGTGTACTCCTTCTTTGATATGATTTAAAATCAAATTCCTCGTCATTATAATTCACTTCCGATAGCGAAGAAAGTGACACAGAGTTTATTGAAAACGAAAAAAATTTCTATTGACAAATTAGTCTGTATTCTCGACACAGCAATTATAGGACTTGAACAGCGGAACTTTGTAACTGAACAAGAAATTATGTATGTTTATAGAATTAAAGAGAAAGTATTATCACATAAAAAAACGAAGCAACTTAAGCAACTTACATTGAAAGAAATGTTTAATAAAGTAAACAAATAAATATAAGGCCTTTTTTTTTTTTTTTTTTTTTTTTGAAATTTTGATACCCTTTAGATCATAATTGTTCTTTATTTCATAAATTAGGGTTTCATATTTTTAATTTTATAATTTCTGCATGCCATCTTACCAGATTTAAATTGATGATCTATAATCCGGAACCGCCGAAGTCCCGACGAGTCCGGATTAACGACTTTTGACTGTAGTTGTAACCTGCACTGGGAAAAATGAAATATATTTCATAATTCAACATGTACCTAAAGGAATAATTTAATAAAAGTAGGTGTCACTTTTGTAAATGATCCTGATGTTAGCTATTTGTGAAGAACTAAGCTACTGCTTTTGTGAAACACCTATACAAGTTAACAATTTATTTTTAAATAATTTTCATATCTTAATTGTAATTCATCTGCAAAAGACATTGCTCTACTTTTAGCACACACTGTATTTATTAAAAAATTTTAGGTGTATGTGGAGCTGCATAGTTCAAACCTACACTGTTCAAGAATCATCTGTATATGTTCGCAAAAAGACATAATTCAAAAGGAGCTGTGCAATACATTCTATCTTTAAAATGACTACAAACTGGAATAAGCTAGAACATCATGAAACATATGTGAAGATAATAATAATGTAACATTTGGTCACAGAATCACTATTCATACTGAATCACTTTGTGTTCGAAAATGGAGCAGAAGGTTGGGTCCAATATATAAACCAATATGAAGATAGAAATGCGTGAAAAGTGAAAGAATTCATGGAATGATATTCAATACACTCAACAATGAGTAATGAGACTGTACAGAATGTACCATAAGTAGCTGCTTACTTATCGTCTTTCTTCCATCTGTAAAATAAATTTACCCTTGATATTAAAAAAAAATTTAGAGATTAATTTCTTTAAATAAAAATAAATAATTTTGTTTTTAACCTGCCGAATTGCATGACTTTTGTTAAATTTATACATTTAATTATTTTAGTCTATTTTCATAAATTTTCATTCATTAAGATATTTCGATCATTAAAGAGAATAAAAAACAAAATGTTTTAAATAATAAGATATTACTCTAAACAACAAAAATTTCATGACCAGGTAGGCAATCATGCCACTCAGGAGGTTAATGCAGTATTTACATGCATGTCTTTTTGTCAAATTTTCTCATTCACTATTAAAAAAAAAAATTCAGTTTCCTTTAACTTACATCATCTGGATAATCAACAGCTTTCCGTTTGACAATCTTGGGATATCCGTCATCATCTCTTTGCTGACTTGAATGAGTGGTCAAAGTATTACACATATCTGAAAAACATATATATATATATATATTGCACTTATATTTTACAAATATCATGATTATACATATTTATATTTATTTCTTAGCTATATGCATAAAAATTATTTCAGTTTTACTAAAGATTGCTTTTTATAAAATTTTAAGTATTAAAAAACTCTTTTTATGAATGAGAAAATAATTTTCAAGATTTTTAGTCATTTAAAATAAATTGAAAATCCAGCAAAATGATTTCCAGAAGTCTCATATCAGTTCAAATTAACAAACTTATTACTTTGTTAAATCCTTACTTCTACAGTTAAAAAGCATTTCTCCACTGTCTTCTCAAAAGAAACAAATCATTTTTGTAATATTTTCCTTATTATTATTTTTAATCATATTACTTTCATGCCTGTCATTTGCTTAAAAAAATTTTTTTAATATAAATTTCTTAAGCTCACAAGTCCAGAATAAAGGTACAAAAGCTTACTTGCTCCTCGATAATAACTGAGTTGCTGATAAACTTGTTTCATTCTCACCAAATTTATGTGACTAACATCTTGGTGATTTACCATAGGCATAGGATAGTCTTTGCCGATCACACATTTCGCAGCCAATTGCACCTTTTCTGGAGCAGTCCAAGGTTCATGTATGTACTTTGTTGGAAAATTTTTTAGAACTGGTAAGTACCTCCTAAAAATAAAGATATATACGTTACACATGATTAAAAATAATTAAAAGCAAAAGAAATACAAATTCGATAGCTGTTTTTTCATACTAAAAATTTGCACATAGATCATCTTTATATTACAGATCAGCGTATTAAATCCTTTATAATATGTTTGATCTAATCTAAACAAAAAGTTAAATAAAATATGCAAAAATAGTATATTAACCTGATATAATCGCCATTTGGATCAGCTTTTCTGCCAAATCGTACTGGGCAGTATAAATGGAAAAACTGCTGAAAAAAAGAGCTGCAAGATAACCACATCCATGAGCCAGCATTCACACTCCAATCTGCATCTAGTAATAGCTCATCAAAAACCTAATGCTCGGTTAAAAAAATTACAAAAGTTACTGCCTGTACATCACACAACATTCTTATTTCAACATAAACAATAACTCCTCCGCACCATCATAACTGATTAAAAAAAACAATATAGCAATAAAGAATATTCCTCACAAAAAAGTACAGCATTTGATTTTCTACTTGCAGTTAATTTTATCCTAATGAGAATAACAGAATAGGTAGACGAATTTATATGCCAGCAGCAATACTACTAAATTTTAAATTGAAATCTTAAAACTATATATAGTTACAAACATTACATAACAGAAAGTTACTTCTAAAATTACAAGACAACTGAAATACTAATTATTCTACGCTTAGTAGAATTTAAAAGTAGTGAAATTTAAGTTTGTATTTTATTTATTTATTTCACATTATTTTATTTTAACTTCTGTCAAATTAGATACCTGCTTCACAAATGATAAGTATATGCATGATATACAGAATAATTCATGATAAATTGTATCTATAACTTGTATTTCAGTATTATGTGCAAATGGATTAGCATAGTGATTTTTTTTTTTTTTTTTTGGTTCTGTTTTCAACATTTATCAATTGAACTGCAGACTTTGCAACCATGCATTTCAACAAAAAATATCTTCCAAAGTAATAAAAATAAATTTGTTAATAAGGCTGTTATTATTCTCATGATGTGCAATATTAACAGCTTTCAGGACACATAATAGCTAAATATTATAGATAGTTTCATCAATAACAAATTGCTATGGTGAATGCAGGTATTATAATAGTATTTTTACTATTTTAACAATTGAAAAATCTAATTTTTTGCTAAATTCTTTCCTTAATCAAATGAAAATTTTTCTAGTAAATTAGAAATTTATATGCAAAAAAAAAAAAAAAAAAAAAAAAAAAAAACTGCAATGATCATAATTCAGATATGAATACCTAAACATTAATAATTCAAATATGAATTAAAACTCTCATTTCTTGGATAGCCAGTATCTATGAAACAAAAAGGACCATATACATTTTTCCAAGATACACCACAAAAACCATTAACTTTTGGTGGGTCTCTTTCATGTTGTATAATTTGATAGTCTGCTTCATACTCCATATTCTAACAATGTGGCAGTTGGCCTTGCCACTTAGACGAAAAGTAGCCTCATCATTAACCCCTTCGAGCCGGGTAGCGAAAACGCGCGCTTATCGCTGAGGCCGGCAGTGTCTTACGCGAGCGTCTCTCCAAGGCCGGGGGCTTTTTTGCTACTAAGCCTAAATCCATGAAATTTCCAAAGTATCAACGCATTGTTTAATAATGCTCTATAGAGTATTTAAACGTCTTATGCTTTTATAAATATTTATATATACTTTAATTACCTTATTTCTTGTTAAATGCAATTTTACACATTTTATTTTAATTACTCACCATTTTATGAATTTTAACATTATACATCTGAAAACTAAATATATTACTTAAAATTCTCTTTTCGTATGAAAAATTTGAAAACAGGGATCTACAAACAGTCCTACGTTACATTCCTTGCACTCGTAACAACTCATTTGCCGTTTTGGAGGATTTTTCCGGGAATGTGAACAAACGAAGCATTGTCGTCTCATTTTCTTATCAGTCTCTTCTGAACAAAGTTTTGGAAAATGTCTTTCAGTTAATCTTTCAGAATCAATATCTGAAATATTTTGCATCATTTCTGCTATTTCATGCTTTGTTAAACGTTTTCGACGCTTCGACATTGCAACGGTAAAAACAAAGAATTCACGTCTAACAAGATCTAATTATTTTCTAAAAACTGAACTGCAAACCGAAATACCCAACGCTTTAGAGCAAATAAAACTTCTCTACTTACAGTAAACACTACCACGTACGAATAAGTGCGATTTAAAGAGACGTCATAAATCACGCCATTCGGAACATTTATTTCTCCGTTTGTTTATGTAATCAAAAAACACGTGTATGTGAGTCATGCTTCTCTCATTTCGAGTAGAAGGTCTAATTTACATGTATCTGAAACCATATGGACATACAGTGCCTCTTGTGGCAGAAATTATAGTTTGAAAAACGTTCCAAAGTACTGGCACAAATACGTGACAGTCGGTAGAGAATGGAACAATCCTCTGGCACGCCTGTGTGTCGGCCGGTAGGTAAGTGCGTTCGTTGCTGGCACGTAGTCGGCGCGAAGGGGTTAAAAGCGTGTTTAATAATTGTCATCTTGTGACACATTCTAAAGGATGAATTCTCCACATATCATTCTTTGTCATCTGTATGAAGAGCTTACAGCAATTGAATCTGGTACCATCTGAAACATAAGCGTCGCTATAGAACACAGCAGACAGATGTTGCAGTAATGTCAAGTTCCCTATCGGCATGATGAGTGAATTTCTGTGGACTATGCAAAATTCTGTCGGATGCACTCCATATTTTTGTCTGACATGTGGAGACTGCCAAGTGATTTCCTGTACAGACATCCTGTGTCTTATTATAATTGTTTATACCACTGCCTGATGCTCTCAGCAATAGGTTTTTAAATGTCAAGGTATTCTCAACAAAAATCATGCCGAACAGTTATGGGCTTGCACTTTGCGAAGTGTAGAACGCAAAATGGTATCTGTTACGCAGTTATCATCAAGACAAACACTGAAGTGACAGGCAAAGAAGAAACAGTGCTAATCTGTCACCAACTACATGAAACTCGAGATTTCCCTCTTTCTACTATGCATTATTTGATCAAAATGGATTAAAAGATGACTAGTTCTTTTTGAAACACTTTGTATATTTCATTGACAATAGATGGGAAAAAGTGATAATAGACTGTCCATGCTGTATTCCTAGGTACCAGCTAATACTGAAGTACCAAATTATTTGAACTCAGTATAAACAGTTTTAATCCATTTATATTAGAATATTTTAGTAACTTGAAGAAAAAAACTATAAAGGATTATTTAAAATATGAATAAATAACAAACTTTCATGCCCTCCTCCCATGATATCCATAAATCTCCACGTGTCAAGAAACAGGCTACGGCATGCCTCGCAACATGATGAATCCACCCCTCTTCTCGTAGCTGAGTCATGATAGCATCAATCCAAGGAAATCCAGTTTGCCCCTAATAAAGAGTATTCAAATACTTCAAAACCAAACCATCACTGATTCCTATCATTCTGATGAATTTTTAAAAAAATCATCTAATACTTAATGTATGAAATAAATTTATTTTCTAGGTTGATAATATTTAATGCTATAGATAAAAATAAAGAAATGGGAGAAAACTACTTTTAATGTAGCTGTCTTTTACATTAAGTTAGAAAGGAGGACTTTGAACTGAATTCATGGCCTAAATATGCAAATTACTAATTTCTTTTATGAAACAATAACTAGCAAGTTCATATATTCCCAGAAAGTTTTCAACCAGGCATTTCTATCTTCTTGACAAATTTATCTATAATTCTCTGCTTAAGTACCAAATATAATAAAAAATTGAGACTTTGTAGCTGATTTCGTAATACAGAATTGGCTTTACCCTCTAAAACAAATGAGAAATATTTTTAGCACTTTGTATATGTACAGAAAATCAGTCAAATTTTTTTTTTCTCTTCTTTAACCCTACTTAATTCTATAGCATAAAAACTATATATTTTATTTGTAATATTAATTGCATGTTTGGCAAATTGGAAAAATTATTCCACTTTTTTTAAAGAAACGTGCAATGGAAAGCATTAAGATCTTACGTTCGTCCATTTTGCCAATGCCTCAGGATTAACATCCCAAGGAATCTGTACACACATTGAATTCCCTACCATGTGATCAAACTTTGGGTTGTTTGTAGCAGCACAGTAAAAGAATTCTCGCCAAAGTATTTGGCCGTGAAGAGATAATGGTGGATTGACTTTTTTTATCTAAAAATAGAAACAATAGACATCAGAATGTGGCATGAAACACAACATCATATGTATAAATATTGTAAACAATTTTTCATCTTACAATGCAAAATAATTTTTGTTACAAAAAAAAATTTCTTTCACAAAAGTATATTAGCATCAAAACTGCTTCAATAAATTTAGTTTTATTTCTTTACATAACTAACGCTTTTACAAAAACAAAAACAAAAAATTCTTTAAATTTTGTAAAATAAAAGCAAAATTTGTCACTGTTTCCTCCAAAAATGAAAGACTGTTTCTAGAATATTAACTAATTATACAAATTTGAAATAGAAGCCCCTTACTAGAAAATTTTTATTTTAAATTTTCTGGAAAAAGGTTATTTGGAGTGGCTCATTTTCTAAAAACTAAGAGTTTTTAAATTATTGTTCGAATAAAATAGATGAAATGCACACTTTTTATGTAATAAGCATATATAATGAATATTTATTTCCTGTTTTCCTTAACCACGCCTCATGGTAAATGCATTGTAAAATTCATAATTCTAACTCATTTATTAAATATTTTTTGTGGACAGTGTGAATTCATAAATCACTTTTCATATATATTTTCACAAACAAGATTTCACCTTTCTATACAGTTCAGCTAATTCTTGATAAAACAAACGGGCAGAGAGACAACCAAATCGTAGATATGGACTCAGACCTGTCTGGCTTGGCAAGAGAGATTGGGGAGTCATTTTTGGCCGGCCAAAACTAGCTACCCAAGCCTATAACAAAACAACAAGCACAAGTTATCTTTTTTAAACATGTATATACAAATTCCTCATACAGCTCTACAAAATGCGCATTCAAATAATATAATAAACATGCAAAGAATTTTGGCTAACCTTGCGTTCCAAGTGCCTCTCCAAACGAGCTAATGCTTCTGTTTCTCCTCCAATCCACACTGGAGGCTTCAAGTTTTCTGTATCAAAGCCTATGAAGATACAAATAAGTTAAAATTTTTCAGCTACTACAGGAATTATTTATTAAATAGGAATTAGTAGAATAGTGTTAGAATAATTTAGTACAATTCCAACAGCCTAATTCATTAGGCTTTGCTGTATATTTAAGACATTAAAATAACTATTTATGACATCCTTAAAATATATAGGTTTTGAATATCAAATATAATTTAGATTTCCATCTCCTGCAAATTTTCAATCTGATTTAAATATTGTAGAAATCTATAACAAAATAAGAATACAAACATAACAACAATCACCATCAGAGGAGTTACAATGGTTAAAACATATGATAAACATCAATTTCTGCGAATAATTCTTTCCCTTGCATCAGTTTTGATTTAACTTCAATAAATTTATGAAATTAATTCTATAAATTATCTGACATGAAATCAAATATAGATCCATCAAATCTGATATGAAATCAAATACTATAGATCATCATCAGATATTCTAGTATATGGTGGCCTTAAATAAGTTATTTAGCACTATTTAATTCATTCTGGCAACTCGTACAATGGTATCCAAAGGGAGGGTTGCCCCATAGAGGACTTTTAAGAGAAACTCACTGATTCAGCACTTTCCACTCAACCACTGGTAGGCTTATTTGTAATAGTAATAATAATGTGAAAAAAGAGAAATTTGCCAAGTTTTCCTTGCATAACTACAAATATTCTATATGTTCCCTAAAGGTCACACAACATAGTGGTATTCAAGTTCATTCCATACCTTTTGTACTTTGTCCCTCCCAGATCCTGATCTAACAGCAAGTGACTGCTTCTTTTGATGCTATGTTAAGTACCTTTTTTTACATTTAACCTACCAATGCTGTTTGAATTCACAGAATACATATATGCTTCAGTGATGATGACTGATCGAGGAATGCTGGCCAAATTCAGTTATGCCTGGATATGTGCGATATGATTAATGGATACACACCTAGAATATTTGTAAAATAAACTTGGTGAGTTTCTGCTTCTTTCCATGCATCCACTATTAATGCATGCTTCATACTTTTAAAAATATAATATTTTGAAATATGATGGATGAATTTAGTAATCCTGCATATGGAATTAACTTCCAAATAATCAAATAAAACATTAACTAGCTGTATATTACATTTATATAAACTTCTTTTAACCTTTCAATAAAACACTTACTTGACCGTAGAGTTAAGTATTTTTCGAAAACAAAAGTAATTTCATGATTAAAGATATGAATTCCAAATATGATACTTAAATCAATGCTTTTGAAATAAATAAAAATTCAGTTTGATATCATTGTTGTAGCATCTGGTATTTTCTAGTAGCTAGTAATTAGGTTCAGAGGGAAGAAAGTAAAAAGGAAGAAAAACAGGTATGACCTGAATAGAAACAGAAATTATTGTGAAGATAATTTCAAGTACCTAGCTCTTCAAGTGTTGGTACTCCATATTTTTCATCGTGGTCTTCAGATAATGGAGTGTAGCAATTTCCAACATCTTCCACAGTAATTTTAGGTTGGGGTGGTGGAGGTGGTTCCATACTTGCAAGTATGTTTTGAAACTGTTTATATGTTAACGGAGATTTACCATGATTTTTTTCAATAATCCTACATATACCCAAAAAAAAAAAAAAAAAAAAAAAAAAAAAGGTGAATTATATAGCAACTGAAAAACTGTGACAAACTAAAAATGTACATTTTAATTTGTCACTTTTTGGAAAGTAATTTTGCTTTATTGCTATAACTTCAGACCCTTAAATTACAATAATAAAATAACATTTTCATTAAGATGTATATTATACAGTTTTTTCCCTTTTTCAAGAATGTAATGTACATGAAAGTATTATTCACACTCACTATGCGGAATATTATTTTTAACATTTAATTCAGCTTTTCAAAGTAACAAATCTTAAACAGACACTTTCTAGGATCCATTTTTTCTGAAACAAATCTACTTTAAAATTTGTACCTGTATCTATTTTAAATTTGGATTATTGAGAAGAAACTTTTTGAAGCCAACATATTAATTGAACGCACAAATATTCCTTACTTGGTATTAAACATTAATTTTGAAATGAGCATTACTCAAATTTCTCAAATTTAAGTTTTTGTGGAATGTTCTTAATAAAACCTAGAATAAAGTTAAAAACAGAGCCCTTGTGTTCTTTGCTGAAATTAAGAAATCCAATCCTTTTTCCCAAGTTTCAAAAACGGATATTATATATCAATTGAAACAATTGATCATTTAATATATGTTATTTACATTTTTATCAAATCTTATTTCAAGTTTACATGCAATACATATTCTAATTTCAATGAACCTAACACTGACAGTTCATGTAGCTCTCATTTTTAAAAATGATTAATACTGATAGATTACTGTGTTCGAAGAAAGTTTAGGAATGCACATTTCATTGCAATAAATCTTGGAATTAACAAAAATAATAATTACTACACATTTCAGCAGCTAATCTGCTGCTGATATATTTCTCTAAATATGAATAATTTTCTACTGATAACACAACAAATTTTGTTTCAAAAATACTGGCTATAACAGATAATTTTTATTACACTCAAAAGAATATTTAATTATTATTTGGCATTAATATTTCAGGCAAATTCCAATGTTAATTCAGAATAATTAAGCCTAATTTAGGCAATTTTATGTAGAATATCTGGAGTAATGTATTGCATTTCTGAATTAGCAATTAATGTCAAATATATTAAATTGTTCTGCAAATTTAAGATTTTCACCTTTTAATCTCTGCTACAATTACAAGATCATTTTCCAATAAATAATTTTAATAATAATCTTCCCTACTCATCAAGCCAAACTTATGCCACAACTTTAAATGCATTTTCCTAGAAACAATAGTTTTGGCATTAATGTAATGCAATTTACTGCCGAGGAAATATTCAGTTTTAAAAATATACATTAGTTATAAAAAAATTATATAATAGTTATATAAAAAATTAGTTATCTTCTGATTATTTATGTTGTGCTTTGCATTTGGTATTTTGCTATCCCCCCCCCAAAAAAGTAAAAAAACTATAAAGTAAATTCTCTGGCACAAAATTGCTAATGTAAATTCCTGGATGCAAAGTTTCACTACTCATTTCTCTCAAAAACATCCTTTTAACTTTGCCACCTTTTTTCCATAGTAAAATTACTATTCTAATTTGAGTTGTTAATATCTGTCATGCTATACTAAAAAAAAAAGACAACAGCAGAAAAGCATATATGCATATGCATAACCGAGTAATTTACAAATTCCAATCAACATTATTATAATTTAACTTACTTTTCCAATTCATATAAAGTATGTGATGTGCGACTTATGACAGTGATTCCATTTTCTTGTGCCATGGTTGTAATATTGAGATCTCTGATACGGCCATAAGGCTCGGGATCCTTTTCGAACGTAAGATGAGTGATTTTCCATAACTATTAAAAAGAAAATATACGCAATTTGAGTTTCATTTTATGAATAAAATGTAATGCATTATTTAGGCTAATCATACAGAGCATTAAATGACAAATTATGAAAAAAAAATGCTTTTCTTTATTCATCAGTTAAAATTTTATTAAGATTTATCATTTTATAAACATAACTACCATAGATTTAAATCTACTTCTGAAATTTTCAAGCAGGTATAGCTACAGAATATGAAGTGATCTTGCATATAAAGAACGATCTTGAATATGAAGTGATCTATGTGATCTTGCTTAATTCATGAAGATATCTGGCTGCTCAGTTACATATTTAGTCATTATTTATGAAAAATTCAAGGACACATAATGCTAATCATATGAACAATATAAAAAAGAAACAAAGTTTCATCAAGTCATTATTGTGTATATCACAGAATTTATCTATTTCTTACCTAACATACAAATTTTTCAGAAAATTATACACTTTTTTCAATTTTATTTTTATATATAATTTAGGTTCTATAAAAGTTTCAGCTGATTACATAATTATTTTTCATAAAATCTTGATTTTTTGTGTGCAACTTTGTAAGAATGAGAAAACTGTATGAAAAGATTTTAAAATTTTACTACATGTACATATGGTAATGACTACATTATCATTGAAAATCATGAGTGTATTTTTAATCTGAACATTAAAGGCAGTCAATTTAAAAACACATGAAAACAGTGTTTACTATCAATAACAGTTTACATGGATATAAGTTCACATTTTTGCTTTAAATGCATGCTATTTTAAAGTGACCACATTTTCATCGAGACAAAGCGAGACAAATGGAATGAAATGAGAATTGCAATTTAGTTATGAAAGCAGACCAATAATTCAAAAAAATTTATTTTATTGTATACATTCATTTATTTCAGATATTTATCCGAGTGAATACTTTGCAATAGATTCGGATCATTTATTAAAATGTTGTGAATTTCTCACATAAATTGGTCAAATTATATTTTACACTTAATACATATTTTTAAGTTTTAATGTTCAACTGTGTTTTTTCAATTGTCCATATTTTATTCATACTAGAAAAAGCACGTTCTATTGCTGCATTTGTTCCTGGAAAGGAGAGCACATGTTCTACAGTTTTCAGACTATTTTCATAAGGAATATTATTCTGTTTAAAATGAAGGAATAACTCCATCCATTTTTTGGTCTGTTTCCACATTTGCAGACAATGAACATTCAACTTTTTCTTCAGTGACATATATTTTTAAAAATGACACCTCATCAAAAAGATCATTTTTGCAAATATTATTTTTTAGAAAATGATTACTAATATATTAAAAAGATTTTTTTACATATTCCCATAAAATCTCCTTTTTTAATGTCACCCAATGAAAAATTTTTATATCCTCGAATTGAACTGTCCATTCTTCAAGATATTCCAAGCAGTTATTATAAAAATTTCTGACTTCTTTCAGAAAATCAGGTCGTTTAATGGGACCTTGTTCTTCCAATCTAGTGATGCCCTTTCGAATAACTAAAGGAACGTAATCGTTATCAATTCTTTCTCACAATTTTGTTTTTAAATTATTGATTTTATTTGACACTTCTGTAACTGAAATTTTGTCCCCTTCAATAATTTTCACAGCATTGTGAAATAATGTAGCTTGGTTGTAGACGAACTGATGCCAAATTTGTGATGTGTCATTTTCAATAAAGAGCTGCAATATTCTTGGACATTTATCATGTGTTAAAAGTATGATTTTAATTGTTCGTATATTTTAAAAATATTTTCTACAGCTGGTAAAAGAGCTAGCCATCGTGTTTTGCTGAATAATTCTTTTATATTCTATTTCTGTGCTTTCACAAAAATCCTTCAAACTTTCAACACACACAGTGTAAATATATATATATATATAAATACAAATAAATTTTTGCATTAATATTTTCAAGATCCACTGGAAGTAAGTCAGATGCTGTTTGAATAGTACTGTGTAGAAGGAGCGCTGCACAACCTACCCCAATAATTTATTCGTTCAAATGTTTGTTAAGTTTCATAAAAACGTTATTGATGCCTCTTCTAGCTTTTCCACCAAAATGTGAATTAGTGCTGTCCTCACAATAGGCAATAATTTTATTGTTCAATTTATTCTTTTTTAAAAAAGCACTTATTGAATCAAAAATTATTTGTGAAGTTTCACCTGGCAATGAAACAAAATCTAATATTCTAATTTTAATTCCTGTTTCTGGATCAGAAAGTCTTAACAACTTGTGGTAAATAATTTTAAATCTCTGTGGTTGGAAGCATCATAATGTATGGATATAAATGGTACATATAATCTAATTCTTTCTGCAATTGTGAAAACGATTATAGGTGAAAAAACATTACAAAATAATTGCTTCGATTTTTGTCCTTGCACATGCAAATTTTTTGTCGTACAATGTTTTGATCATTTGCGACATGCAATCAATTGATCTGAAACTTTGATTGTGGTTTATGGTGTGGAAAGCAAATAGCCTTTCAGCTAATGCTAGCTGTTGCTCCGTTAACAATACATACATTCCTTGATGAGGTGCAACGTTAATGATCGAACACCACCGAGTAAATCTAACTCGTTACATTGCCAAATTTAGTTTACTCTGCATGCATTTTATGTGTTTTTTATTCACATATTTTTTATTTCTTTATATTTACTATAATAATTAATAAATAATAAGTAATATATATTTACAGTATATTTAAAATAAGTTTTCTAAAATTGCGGGACATTTTTTAAAAATCGGCAGGACGCGGGACAGTCCTCCAAAAAGTGGGACTGTCCCACGTGTGGTCACTTTACACTATTTATTTTTTTTATCAATTTAAAATGAAACACTAAGCAAAAGAAAGAAGCTGTAGAACTATAAGCCAAAATAAGAACCTCGTATGAAATCACACCCATTATTTATTCAATTCCAATATGCATGTCATAAATAAAACGATATTAAACTTATTTCAAGAAATAAAGGAGTGTTAATTAATATCCATAAGATTTGATATGTAGAATTATTCCCCAGATTTGGCTAATAATACAGTAAAATCTTGACTGTTTGGAAAGCTTGGAAAATACCGAATATGCGAAAATTCCATATAACAAGATACGTAATAAATGCATTTCATAGCCAAAAAGCCAAATAAATGGAAGGAAAAAATTATGGTCTAAAATTATGAAAAGAGTTATTTTATTTGTTATCAACTTAATATCAAAATGCCTACACATATATTATGCGAGAGTTCAAAAGAAAAAAGGGAAATCTAGCAAATAAAACATATCCAATGACGAAATTCTGTCAACCAAAAAAATTGGTGGATATCTTACCGAATTTTCGTCAGTCATTCGGCAGAAGTTTGAAGCAACAGATCACTCCTTATTTAGTTAATCAGTGGACATTAACAAACAAATTATGTCCGTAACAAAAATTAAATCTGTAAAAAATTACAGACATAGCGTATAAAAAATTTAATTCGGGTTCATATCAAGACAATGCATTAAGTCGCATTTATTCATCATTGGCGTTAAATCGCATTGTTAAGCAACTCATTATTATTATTTAAATTGTAGTCCTATTTATGCTTCATAATACTCTAATTTGCTTAATTTTACATTAAAATTTTTTTCCAAAATTTGAAAACATTTTGGTTATTAGAGCTTTCCGGTTAGCTGAATGTCAGATAGTCAGACTTTTACTGTAAATACATTTAGTTGTTTTGATGATTATAAACTTGTGTGCACTTTTATAAACTTGTATGTATCTAAGATCACATAAAATTCAGTTTGAATATAGTTCCAATCTGGCAACATACATGTACTGACATACAGTGCAAAAAGTTTAGAAGCTAATTATGCTTCAAACATATATATATTGGAGGGGTCTTTATACACATTTAAGCCTAATCTGTAGAAAAAGTACATCAAACACATACTGTATTTGTATATGAAAAAAAGCTTCTCAAATACCTTAAAGAGGCGAGGAAATACATCAGCTGGTTGACCACGTATAACAAATAAACGAGAGTTCAGCTTGCGAAGATTGGTATCTAAATTTTCAAGACACTGAAGAAGGAATCTGTAAAGAGGGAAAAATAGAAATATTATTGACATGTCCTAGTTCATATACTGTATATGAAGGCTGACCAAAATTTTTTCATATTAATCACAGCCTCATGATAGGATTAAAAAATTTAAAGAGCCAAACTCAGATTTTTCTATAAGCCATAACGTTAAATTAAATTAAGAATTAGTAGTTTTAAATAAATTAACATACATTTTGCATTTTTTAATCAATGCTGCAGTTTGTAAGAAAAATAATGAATAAATTTTATTGATCTTGCTTTGCATTCAGGAAATTATGCTCCTATAACATAAAAACTTACTTTTCTATTATATACTTTTTCTTTCAGATCTTATATTTCTTATAATTATCAATTGATTATAACGGGATAAAATTTAAATCAAAAAGTAATATAATGGTCTCTATCACACACATTTATCTGGAAAGTATCAAAATTAGTGTTGGCGTAATTATTGGAAAAACTGGATTGAAATAGGAAAATTACATTGAAATGGTGAATTTAGTTGAATTTTTACACACAAACTTCCTTTAATTCTTCAAACACAGTTAAAGTAAGGAACAAAATCAATTCACTAACTGGATCATAAAATATATTTTTCAAGTTGCAACTATATATATTTTTATTATCATTCAGTATGACTCAATATATGTAGTTAAGTACAGTATGTTAATGTTGCATTATGTCTTTCCATCTGTCCTGATAGCCAGTACTAATTCTAAAAATTAAATCACCAGACAAATATTACTACCAAATTTCTTCAATTCTAAGACGCATTCCTTAATTTCAGTATCACCAACAGAGCTCCCCTCTGTTGAATTCTACACAGACAGATTCTAAGGAAATAAATTAAATGGTATTTTAAACTATATCCAGCAAATATTTTTGATAACCAACTTTATTTTGTTAACAACAGTAGATCAGTTTAAAATAGTTACATGGAAAAACAAATTATTTCACAATAATCAGTAATTTAAAAAAAAAAAAAAAAAACTGTGGTTTTTAAGAATGCATTTCCATTTTCAGTTATTTTTATATGGGAAGAAAAAAAAAAAAGATGCATCTTAGAATCGAAGAAATGTAGTATTTACCTTCCGTGTAATTACTTTGATGATTAACAAATGAAATAACGAAGCAAAGGGATATCAGCTGAAAGACAAATGTTCATGAAACTGGTCTCTTCTCTCACTTCATGCATGCAAGAATCTCGGGTTATCACTGTAATGGAGACAAGAAAAGATATGATTGCCTCGCCATTTTATTCTGTGTAAATGCTGATGGTACAAACTAGATGATACTCCTAGTTATAGAAAATTTATTGAAAGCAAGATGTTTCAAAGAATTATAAGCATTGCCATTTCAGTATAAAATGAATAAGATGCCTAGATTAACTGGAGATATTTTCAGAGAACGATTCAAAAAATGAAAAAGCGATGATAACACAAAAACTTTAATGTTTTATTTTTCATAGACCAATGTATCCCCATATCCACAACTGACTAATTGCTTAACCCTTTGATGCGCAGTGGTCGTGCCCTGAAACCACCAATTTTTCGAATTTTTTTCAAAATTTTTGAGTGAAAATAAATTGATTACTGATCTTTTACCTCTAAATAACACAAAATGACTACAGAATCATACATATTTTAGGTCTTAGTACTTCAAATCGGATGCCTTTTAAAATTTGTTTTCAATGAGAAAAAGTAACTTCCTTTTATTAATATAAACATCTTTAAATTTCAAAAGTTATTATTGTGATTTTATAAATTATTGCACATCGTGATTTCTATCATAAACAATAAAAAATAGCAATAATTAAACTGCATATATAAAAAAAAACCCTCTATATGTATGGCATTTGCTTTGCGGTTTCAGGGAGCGATCACTGCCCCACTAGAGCATTGTACACAATGCTCTCGAGGCTCGGTGTTCGCGCCTTGAAACCACTGCTCTTCAAATGTATTTCTAACAGTTATCATGTGTCAACAGGTGACCCATTTCTAACAGTTACCAGACAAACATAATAATAAATCTAAACATCAACACAGAATGTCATGAAGGTAATTGCATGACTTAAATATATGAAAAATAATTAAAAAAGCATTCATATAAATATGAATAATTTATGGAAACTTTTGAAGTATAATCATGACATGACATTCAAGCATATCATAATAATAATTTAAATCATTAAATATCTGAGATTCAACTATAAAACTAACTACAAATTAACTACACAAAGTGCTGAAATTTATTTTCGCAAGCAGAAAAAACATTAATATCAAAATAAAACACAATATATCTTGACAATTTTTTTTTTTTTATATTTTAGGTTTAATGCTTTTAAAAATTTACTACTAAAATTTTAAAATGTTAAAAGAAAAAATTTTAAAAACATAAAAATTACAAGACTAAAAAGAAATTGAATTCTGATCTTGGTATGCAGATTACAATTTAAAACCTGAAACACTTTTAAACTAAACAATACAAGCCAACAATTTCAAAAGTTAAGTCCCTAAGAATTTACAGTGTAAATATAATTACAGTGTAAATTCTTAGGATCTTGCATTTTAATTGAGCTAATTAAAATTGGCTTGAAATTAGCAATTAGCTTGATTGATTGAGCTAATTAAAATTAATTAATTGAAACTGCATTTTAATTGAGGTTATGACACAAAGTCTTGCATTTTAATTGAGCTGGTCAAAATGACAACGCGACAGAATTATGATATCATTTCATCATTAATTACCATTAATTAATTATATGGAGACTTGTGCCCTTATTTAATAATGGGATTCAATGATTTAAGATACAGCTGTGCAATTATTTCACTGGACCACTTCTAATGAGGCTTCAAACAAATATATCCTTCAAATGACAATACTGTCTATTTTACCAAAATATGAAATCTACTTATTAAAAACTTTAAGCACTCTTTCAAGATGATTAAAAAACTGCTCTAACCAACATACCAGTTACCAACAACCTAACCGAACCTGCTCTAACCAAACAGCCTACTTGGTCGGTAATAAATTGGTAGTCAACTACCAATTTGTTACCAATGTTTATGTTTGGTAACAAATTTGCTTATATTAAATGTTTTTTCAAAATACCAGCTTTTCATAACAAACTATCAGTCCCACAAGAAGCAGCCAACAAACACTTCCAGAGGCAGTTTCCTTCAAGGTGTTTAAAATGCAGCTGATAGAAATGTGATAAGATTCCTTGTGCATTTTATATTATTGGTTGCATCAAGCATGTGTAGCTTAACAGCTAGTTCCGCTTGGGCATGCTTTGTCACTTCACCCTAACATTTAGTAAATCACACTCTGAATTCAGACAATTCTGATATATAAGTCCAATACAAAATCAATATTTCATAGGAAAAAAAATGTTAAAAAGAAAACTGCAAAATAAATATCACTTTTTTTTTATCACCATAACAAAGCAGTCTACCGGCATGTTATAATATACAGAGGCTGTTCACACATTTTTTAGACGATGTAAATTGTATTCACAAAACTAAATTACATAAAATTCTTGTGTTTAATGTTATTTGACATCCTTATCTGAACTATCTTCGACACACAATTTCCAGGATAATAATGCCTTTTGAAGTGGCAGAAGAGGTATTCTATCCCATTCCTCTCGATCAGCTTTCCAGAGTCCTGTTAGGGTTTTGGGACAACGTTTGGATAATGCAGTTTTTAAAAGTCCGAAAGCACAAAAATCCATACATGACACATCGGAGATTTAGTAGGGATATCAGTGAAGGGTATGGCCTTGATACCAGTTTTTTGTTCCATTTACGTTTTTTTTTCTTCCTTGTTGATGATATTACCTATCGACATTTTAGATATCACAAAACCATGACTCTCACATTGTTTTTGGATAACGGTGCATGCATATTTCTCTTCGGAAAGAGTGTAAATGTAACCTTCAAACCACTGCTTTGTTAAATTCGACATTTTGAATAAAAACAAAACTTTCAAGCCACAGACGATAATTTTGACTTTTAAAAACATAGTACAATTGCAATTACTTCTTTTGGAGCAAACGATTTTTTATTACCGCTTACCAAAATCGTCTAAAAAATGTGCAAACAGCCTCTGTAATTGAAGCTATCATTCACAAAAGTCATTCGAAGTCGGCTCTTTGCATCACAAGTAAATCACAGACCGGTCAGAAACAGAATGTGCTAGTTCTCAAAACCACATTCCTTTTCAGATGCCTTTCTGTCATCTGCACAACTGAAGATAGCAGAACCATTTAGCCTTTGGCAAATATTTGACTTCCTTATTTGAACAGTCTTTTTTTATGGATAAGACCTTTATCTTGGAAGAATATAATTGCCACTTGCTCGTTGCGTGGTAAATTTGATATTTTCAAAAGCATTGGAGTAAAAGACAAAAAACGAACCAAGCCAACGAACTGGAAAGAAATGAATTGCACAAGGAAAGCCAATCAACAAACAGTTTGATGCGGACGAACATTTAAATTAATTAAAGGTTAATCTTTACATTATGGTAACTTGGCGATTTTTTGGCGAAAATTTGGCGACCAACTCTCCTACAGCAACCCTCTATTTTTTTTCCCCGCCGCCATTTTGTCTTCACGAAGTAAAGACATGTTTCTTTTCTTTTTATCTACTGAACACTTCTTCCAACAATCTACTAGCCGAATTACACTTATGCTAGAAATTTTATCTAACAAAACTGCTTAATCATGACAAATATTCACTGCAAAATTGGGAAAAAGTGCACAATACCATACTCCTTACGCGTTTTTCAAAATAACACATACACATAAACCATGTACACGCCGACTTATTTTTACTTAAAAAAAATCCCAGAATTGCACAAAAATGGCATTGCGCACACTCTTCACTATATCCATGTACACTGCTTTTTTTCTCATAAATTAGAAAAATTTCACGAAAATACATGACAATTTTCTCAATCTTTAAACCCGGTAAAAAGAACATATATGAAATTACCTGATCGCGAAAAAAGTATTTACCCTTTCCAAATATGAACATTTCCACATATAAAATAAATAAAATATCCAAAAACTTTTACCTCTAAATCATCTATTACATTATACACGTCACCAACGAATTCATACCGCAAGCATTACAAATACTTAGTATCAAATATTTAAATTATTTCCATGCACGTTTACTTCAACTTAAACGTATACCAAATTCCTACAAACATAAAATTCACAAAATAACTATCATTTAATTAAAATATAATTAAATTCAAAAACACTACTTAAAATATAAATGAGCACATACATTAAATTAATACATACATAAATACCCATTTCGAATTCACTTTAGTTACGGCATGGGATCCAAAAATTCACGAACACTGTTTCACACAACACAGAATAAAGCCAAATACAAAATTTCCAGATTTTTTCCCGATTTCCCCCCTTTTCCGATTAAAGAACCGTAATTCGTCCATT